TAGATTTTCCTCGCGATATTAAAGCCATAGACTGAATCTGAAATCGCTGTCATCTACCTTGTGTCACGGCGCCAGTCGGACAGTCACACCAATTGAGCCATACTCTGTACAAAAGCATACAAGTAACCGAAGCTGCTTCTCCGGTCGCTCAGACTCCTCATATAGTTGTCATAGCTGCAGTACGAATGCTTTCGCCAGACGCACCGCCAGCCTGAGTGCCGTGACACCTTGTGCTAATCATGTGTGAAGTTTGTGTTTTTACTTGAGTGCCGTTAGAAATACCACATGTGATTGGGGGGAGGGGATTAGAGGGTAATTATGGTACTTATGAACAGTATAAAAGGTGAATATTCTGCTTTTATTATGCCAGTTTCCAGGTACAACCCTTGGAGTGAGGCAAGGCTAGAAAGCGGGTATGATAAAACTGTACAAACCAAAATAACCAGCAGCTAGGTACATGGTCAGATGGCCAGTCATGTCAATTCGCCAGCTCAATCATCCGTTCGTGTACGTTCTGGACGGAACGGGAAACCACGTGATAACCACGGAATGAATCTCACTCGACCCGAAGGGAAGGGAAAACCCCCACTCAATATCTACGCCACACTGCTGGCTGAGATTCAGGTGGGAGCAGGGCCGCCGCCACAAGATAAGCTTACTCTCTGTGATTGGTCAGATGCAAGTCCTGCATTAGCCCCATACCATCCCATGTCCCATGCCAGACACATCTTAGAGATAAGCGCGGTCGACTGTTTCGTTCCGTTTCCGTTTGACTGTCGACCGAACCCGTCAGATCAGGGTCTGCGAGTGCGCGCGAAACTCGTCCACTCCGACAGAGCCAAGTTAAAACTTACTGGCCAGCAGGCTTTAGAAGAAAATACGGTACGGACTGATGTGCGAAGTGATGAGGTGAGATGAATGCAAGACAAGATGGGAGGTTTGCGGAAGGATAGAAGTCATATCTGATGTGAGTTAAGTGCCCAGGCGCTAAAATGCTAAGCTTTCTTATCGATTTACAGTAATCCACTTCCCCAGAAAGCCAAGCAAAAAACCAAGCTGATCTGCCCTGCCCTAACCCCAAGCCCGGCCGCGACGGCACCGCACCGGTATAGTAAGGTAAGCTTACTGTCATCCAGGAAAAAGAGACGATACTGCTTAGCATCTCTGAAGCAATGGAAACTTATCTTCGGGTGAGCTAAGAACTAATGACAATGGGGCAAGCATGGTGTGAGGCAGGGCGAAGCAATGACAAGCTAGAATTAAATAATACCTATCTCAAGGCAAGGCAAGGTAAGGCATATCTTTGTGATACCGATTTCTGAAAGATGTACGCATGCATGTCAGTCGATTGTGTAGGAAAATGCAATGGGTGTGCAACCGAACGGACTGCGATTAGTCGCGAGCTAGAGACAAGCAAGGTCCCTGATAAACGTGCTAAGGTGGTTGCCTTATAGACGAACGCCTTTGCTGCGCTTACTGCAGTATAACGGTGGGTGATTCCATTTCTTGCCGGCACTAGATTAACCTGACCCGGCGTTCTCTAAAGTTACCTTTGCATTTTGGTCTCCTGTTGTGTTTGCTGAAATCCCTATATTCTATGCTGATATAGTCGCACCACAGATGCTCCAACTGCGCGGTTGGAGCTGGAGAGGGTCGCGGTTTCCCTTCCTGGCTGCAGTCCTCAGCTTCTTTCAATCTCCCCCACTGTCTGAGCAATCTCGTCTCAACTTTCGACCTGCTCCCTAATCCACCCGGGAACGTTTATTCCCTCTACATAACCGATGTCCATAAGGTTTCGCGATTGGCTAGATAACCACTCCTAATGCTAATTATTCAGGACATATTGGCCGCCAGGCTCGCCAACCAGAAGACTGCGATAAGACCTCCCACCGACACAATTTCCCCTAGAACCTACCTACCCAGATACCTCGGATCAGACCATGCTCCCAGACAAACCATCGTTGTGCCCGCACTACATGGTTTCCATATCAGCAGCGGCATACATCCGTCCAGCTCCTGCATGACAGACAGCCCACACAAGACACCCCCATCCACACCCCCGGGAACAATTTCCGAAGGTACCTGTAGGTAGCTTATCCACGCATCATGAACTTACCTACCCTACCTCCTGCTCCCTCCCCATCCCCCTCTCCACCACACCTCGCTATCCTTGCCCGCTCGTTCGTCGACGCCGCTGCGCTGCAGGCGGGAAGCTTCTAAAGAGGGCGAGTTCGAGCTAGGGTCCCACGCGAGATTCATTTATCAGCTTGCCTATCCCTCCTCTCACCTCCAGAGCTTTTTGTGCTCGTCTCTCCACGTTCCCTTTTTGTCCCGCGTGTCGAGATCGTCTCTTGCGCTCCTCACAGCTTCCTGGGCGCCTTCCTCACTCCTCGAGCGACGAGGACACGACTCCTCCCGGGGAAGTCCCCACCCCAGAAAGAAAAATGGCGGGCAACGCGACGGCGACCGATGCCGCCGCCGCTGCGACGTCCTCGCCCGTGTGGTGGACGCCTGATCCGAATTCTGGTGTTGGAAGCGGTACGCTTTCTTTATTCCGCCCCTCAAAAGTCTGAGAGTGACTGACACCATGCAGGCGACAATGCATGGCAGTTGACAGCAGCCACTCTGGTCGGGCTACAATCCGTGCCCGGCCTGGTCGTGTTGTACGGCGGAATAATGAAGAAGAAGTGGGCCATCAACAGCGCCTTCATGGCCTTCTACGCCTTCGCCGCCGTGCTGATCTGCTGGGTTCTGTGGGCCTACGAGGCCTCTTTTGGGGAAGAAATGCTGCCGTTTGTCGGCAAGCCCAACAACGTCCTCGGGATCGACCGGATGCTAGCACAGTCAACACTCCCTTCGATTGGCGTCAGCCAGCAGTTTCCCCTCGCGACCATGGTGTACTTCCAGTTTGTGTTCGCGGCCATCACACTGGTGATTATGGCGGGTGCCTTTCTGGGGAGGATGAACTTTTATGCCTGGATGATCTTCGTCCCGTTATGGCTGACACTGTCGTATACCGTCGGCGCGTATTCGCTGTGGGGGGGAGGTTTCCTGTTCAAGCTCGGCGTAATCGACTACTCCGGCGGGTACGTCATTCATCTTTCGTCCGGAACGGCGGGTTTTATAGGGTCGTACTGGATTGGCCCTCGTCTTGCTCGAGACCGCGAGGATGCTCGCCCGAACAACATCTTGACGGTTCTCATCGGTGCCGGGATCCTGTGGATCGGATGGAACGGCTTCAACGGCGGTGACCCGTACGCGGCCAACGCTGATGCCGGTGTGGCCGTGCTCAACACCAACCTGTGCACCGCTGTCTCCCTTCTAACGTGGACCGTGTGCGACATGCTCTACTTCAAGAAACCTTCCGTTATCGGCGCCGTGCAGGGCATGATCACCGGTCTCGTGGCCATCACTCCAGCGGCGGGCGTGGTTGCGGGTTGGGGTGCCATCTTGCTTGGTCTTGGATCTGGCTCGATCCCGTGGTTTACCATGAACGTCCTCGCCAAGAAGCTCAAGTTCCTTGAGCGCCACTTTGATGATACTCTAGGTGTTGTGCACACGCACATGGTGGCTGGTTTCATCGGTGGATTTGGAACTGGTCTCTGGGCTACCGTCGATGGCTGCGCCGCGTTCGGCCTGACCAACCCCGGCGGTGCGGTTGCCGGAAACGGCATCCAGGTTGGGTACCAGGTAGCTGGCGCCATGTTCATCATCGGCTGGAACCTGGTCTGGACGAGCTTGATTCTGCTGTTCATCAAGTACGTCCTGCGCATACCGCTCCGCATGAGCGAAGCGGATTTGCTGTTGGGTGATGATGCCGTCCACGGCGAGGCGGCATACGTGTTTGGGCCCTGTGAGGCACACGACCCGGAGAACGCAGGGTATATCCAGGGCGAAGAAATCATGCGGACCGTCAGCACGAACGATGCTGAGCTCAGCCTCGGTGGGCCTGTCGCTCATGCCACGAATCCGGAAAAGATTCACAAGAATGGCGAGTCGAGCGGTGGTATTTGAACAGAGGTGCATGCTATTAGATTCATCAGAGATGTTGCTGTGTTTTTAGTGCGAGGAAGAGATTGCTGCATATGATATACCCAAGTAGTAAATAGAAGTTCGGTTATCTCGAAGCAATTGTCCGCTCAGTTGAGCCGTGCCAACTTTTGTGGTCTCGGGGCATGGCTTTTACTCGTGCTCAGTGTGTGCCACTGCAGACGCTTCATGACGCGTATGGTAGCACATGTCCGCACAAAGCAGGGGATCCACCACGATCTCGCTTGAGTCTCACTTGAGAATATGTTTTTACCGGTGTACCAGACTGTCGGGTTTTAGGCACATGGTACAATACCGGCGCTTGCCATATCGCAAACGGTGAGATATCTCGAAGAATTGACGCTATTAGGTTACGGTGCTTGGGAGTTCGGTCTTGCGGCAGTGCCACAACCAACTGCGCGAGAACCCACTCAATTGGTAAAACGGCGCGATGAAAATGGATTTATCAGTCAAGTTAAAGTCGACGAAGCGAAAACTGAAGTTGGGATAACTACAGATTTATTATTATACGAATCTGAGAGGCTTTGCTGCTCGCGGGGGCCCGCACCTGGACCAGGAGGAGAGGTTGTTGGGAACATGTTACGTACAATTTACGTACTTGTAAAACCACCCACAAAGTTCGACACTGCCCATCGTATGTTTAACAAGCTGAGCTTTGTTAAAAACATCTCCAGCGCTCGGAGATCCGAGATATTATAGCCATATAGCCGTCTTGAACTGTACCTGTTCAGGAATGCCTGTCATGCTTGCGGTGGGAAAATACATGTATGTATGTACGTACATACCAGGTACTTACGGAACCCGTGTGTCCTAAAAACGAAGCATTTATGAGGGGCCGGGGAAAAAGGATGGAAGGAGCAACCCAACCCTTCCCTAACATCAAAGCGCATGCAAACTCCCATTACCACCCCAATTACCTAACCATAAACAATACAAAAAAAAAAAATATCCGCCAACGGCGAGACTCGAACTCGCAACATTCAGATCTCTCCATCTCTCTCTCCCGCCCTTACCTAACCCAGGTGTTTTTTTTTCAGCTGAGTCGGTTTTTTTTAGTGGGCTGGTTTTTTTTTTTTTTTGTAAAAGTCTGACGCGCTAACCAATTGCGCCACGCCGGCCTTTTTTTGTTGTTGTAATCCCTTTGGGCGTTATTAATGACATTTTCTTGGCACGACCCACAGTACAACCAGTCTACATCCAAGCCACCCACAGCCATGCGATACTTAGAAAGAGGTCACTATTTCGATACCGCCTTTATGACCTACAACAGCGTCTAAGAAATCAGAGAAAAATTGAGGATATAGAAAAAGGCCCCGTAATATTCTTTAATTAGCGTCACTAGTTTTGGCAGCGTTGGGAGCTTAATAGATAGCTATATGCATTTGCGGCTGCTGTCAATCATAGCGGTAGGGCTGGTCTGTGAGTGCGCTCTTTTTTCGGGTGACTGGATGTACTGAAAAGCCCCGCTTTTTAGTTTTACGCACGCCGATTGGCTATAGAACCCTGTTGCCAAGAAAATGTCATTAATAACGCCCAAAGGGATCTCTCTCGTCAGCACTCACCTATTATATTTCTCCCCACACATCTTCCTTAACCAGATCAGTGTAGATGGTGTGCGTGTCAGCCTGCCACGAAACTCATACATATTTAGTACTGGCGCCTGGCCTACAGGTATATCATATAGTCTGTTCTGTATTGACAGGCAGAGGGAGGTTCAAGTTAAAGGTACTTATTATCACTTCAAAAAGCGAAGAACTTGACTTTAAGACTGCGCGCGTGCAAGGGATGGATGGGTGTATTAATATCACTAAAAACGTAATATTCTATCTGCTCGCAAACTTAAAGGGGGAAAATTTAAAGAAGGATGTTATCAAGTATGTCCCGTCTAGTAGTCGCTTTCAGCAGCTTGCTAAGCAGGCGTGTAGCTCTGTGATGGACCACTGATGGTACAGGGAGGGAAAGGTATTCGGGGGTGTGGGTTCTTAGCTTTCGGAGTATTTCAAGTAAGGCACACCTCTACACTATCTGTCGAGGTTAGTTGAATGCGTGAGCTGCAAGTTGTTGTTGCTGTCGTTGACCTGTAAACCTGTCTCTCTCTTCTTTATCTCTACCAGGCACGCTACGATAGAACTGAAAAGGCACTTTTTTACATCTATGCAAGAATTTGAAGAAAAAAGGTTTGTGCAAGACGAGTGTGCCGTGCCGAGGTCTATGATACAGTGCAATGATAAGGGGGTGTAATTCATTTCGCCATGATATGAGATTTGGTCATTCTCGTGCTGCTTCATTCTGCTTCGGAGCCATAAATATTCATCCCATCCTTTCTGTGTCCCTAAGTGCTCAATGCTCGTCTTATGAGATCATGTCCAGGTTAGACCAGTGTAAACTCTTCAAACCCCTCCCCTCCTTCCCCCCCAAGATAGTCCTCAAATACCTTGCCGTACATCAACCCATGAACATAACAGTCCGCAACCAGCCAATACTCGTCCCTTTTCTTCCCCGTCGGGCGGAGCATGAACGGGACGCGCGTCCGCGGGAGGAAGGCAATCACGTCGCCGACCGCCATGCCCCTATCCAGACCCAGCCCGATGTATCCCTTCTCGGTGGTGAAGAAGGTACGGTAGACGTTTGCCGCCCGCAGGATCGTGTCCCGGTACGTGGTGCCGTCGCTTTGGTCATTCCGAGGGCCACGAAGAGCGGAAAACACGTTTTGCTCTCCTTCCTTTTCGCCGAAAATGGACGCAGGCATGTCCCGCTCACGTTCAAATGCGACAATCACCTTCGGATCGAGCGGAGGCGGCTCCGGTCTGAAACCTGGTGTGTACCGAATCATATATTCGGTGGCCTCCCGCTTGGCACGAGCTTTGTCAGGTCGTACGTATGCCTCGAAATCTCCACCCAGCGAGGCCGGTGCCCTGGACGTGAGGGAGAAACGGTTGGCGTGGTCTAGGTCGCAGATGAGTGTTCGCCAAAAGGCCTCCATATACGAACCACCTCCTGGGTAGGCAGTCCCCAACGGACCTGATATGAGCCGTAGATACTGGTCGCGCGCCCATGCATACCGCGCTAGCCTTGCCGTGACAAAGACTCTCCGTAGAGTGTCGGTGACATGAACAATCCTGTCATGGATTATGCCTGACAGACGGAGAGTGCCGCAAGATATGTCGATGTCTTTGATGGGTGGTGTTGGAAAAGTGATAACATCGCCTGAGGCATCGAACATCTGACATTGAAAAATAGGGATCTGCGCCATCGGGACGCTCCAATCCGGCGCCCAAGACGGAACTTGTGGGTCCCTCACGATGCTTGTGTAGCTGAGCACCATCGTGCCCTCGGGGGAACGGAGCAGCTGGGCGGCTACTTCTGTAAAGACGCGGGCCATGGGTTTCTTGTAGTCCGGTATGATCTTGGCATCTTGGACGAGGGAGGAGAGGGCAAAGACCCGGTCCCTTGGATCACCACAATCCAAATCCCGACAACGCGCAAGATATGTCAGCAATGACAATGATTGCGGTTGGACCTCATACTCCAGGCGTAAACCGGCCATCATGCCCATCGCTCCAATTTGGCGTTCCGACGTGGAAGTGACTGCGATATATTGGTTCAAGTAAGCGCTCGTCTCTTGCATCCTGCTGAATGCCGTGAACAGCCACCACGGGATTTCCACCTTGCCACACATCATGAGCACGTTCTTGTTCAACAGCGACTCCTGAACGATCCACATGCGTGTGTACCACGGCCTGCCCAGAAAATTCCGTAGCGGTAGCCAAGCCGGGTCGCCATCGGAAGGAAGACGATACTTGGTGTGGTAAGGGGCGGCCGAGCTGGGGGTGACCCTGATCTTTGTCCAGGTCGCCCGCAGCTCTATGGAACACAGGATGAGTCTTTTTGCCAGATCAATCGCCGGCTTGATATTGTCGGTATCGTTTCCGACATAGGTGATGACACGACTGGCCGAGCGATATATCTCTGCCATCAGCTGTACCTGGCAGCTGCGCTCTTCCACGTCTTGCTGGTTGATGCAGACGCCGTCCGCCCAGAGCGTTCGGATCCCGTCCTCAGTTCCAGCATGACGGATGTTCCGTAAGGCGCTGTAGAGCGATGCCGTGATTTTCAGAGTCCTGACGCCCAGCAGACGCAGAAGGTGCGACTTGGTCGCTGATCCCCAGACATAGGAAATGGCCTCATAAGGTACGCTTCCTTTGTCGCCGAGCGCTGTTTCGATGAGCTCCGCAACCAAGTCATCGCCGCTACCTCCGAAGAGGCGCAAAACGCGAATGGACTTGGGACTTTGTAAAGGCTGATATTGGTAGTCATTGTTCTCCATCACAGGAGGCTTGAGACGTGTTTGGGTTATAGAAAAGTCTGACTGAATGTGGTTCAGACCATGGACATGATGCCATCATCACCAATTGTCCTGCACTGAGGCTTGGCAGCCAAAGTGGTCGCGGGGGAGGGGCGCTGCTCTGCCTGCAGCACGCGTCAAGCCGCCGATTGGCCAGAAAGGCAGTGGATAGCGTCTGTGGCTTGTGGCAGACTGCTAACTGCCTCGCTGCCTAACTTAGCTGCTTAGGCACTCTCACTCCGCGTCGTCAAATCACAGTCGGTCAGGCTCGAGGGCGAAGATGCTGTATTGATTCCTTTTGCAGTTAACGTTGCTCGTAGGAGGATCAGAGGCTCTCTGGAGGGCAGACGGAGGTAACAGGCTGAGTTGTAGAAGCCGCTTGTTGAGAATAGCTAGAGTCTAAGTGCTATCGCGACTACCTGGTCGATGACGTTGGTCGTACTTAACCATTCATAGGCCTTTACTCAGTAGGGCATGGGTTTATGCGTGCTTGCTTGCCATGTTCGCTCTGCTCCATCAAATCTGTCCGCCGTTGCGGATTATCTTGGCGACATCGACATCCACCCATCTCACCTCTTGCTGGCCCGGCGCCTGCTGACCTTGATGAGGTGGGACTGATTGCTGATTGTGGGCCTGCTCAACCTGGCTTGCGGCCGTGTCTCGCGCATTTCTTCTCGCCTTGAGCTGCTCGATGACCCCGGCCGAAATAATGTCGAAGCTGTTCATAAGTCCCACGGCCGAGTCCCATCTTTCGCCATATCTCTTCAGTGTCAAGGCCACTCGCTCCAAGCAGTACAAGCTTCGGTCCACATTGTCGCCGCCAGCGGCTCTGTCAAGCCTCTCGGGTAGTCGGGGAGGAGGAGCCTTGCCGGGTATTGGGGGTGGCATCGGCACACTCGACCCAGACAGCAATACATCTCCGGCATCCCGGAGCACTGCGACAAACTGTGATCCCATGAAATACACCTTGAGCGCATCGTGATAGGTATAGAAAGAGATGTTCTTGTCCGCGGTCGCGATGCGGTAGATGCGGTCCATGTACGCGATGGCGTGCTCAAAGATAAGCACCCTGTCATAGGTAGTCAAGCGCGGGCCCCTTTCACTCGGAGTGAGACAGTAGACGTAGCTGTATCGCAGCTCCAACTCAAACATCCCCAGAGCGCCAAGGGGGAGACTCGCTGAGAGACCGTCGCGCCATTCTCGCATCTGGAGAAACTGTTGCCAGATGAAAGAATTGGCATCGGGGAGTGGCTCCGCAGGATCGCACTTGAAGAGGGTTTGGTACCAGTGCGATTGCAAGCGGCGCAGCTTGAACAGGAGCAGAGACGGATCGTCAGACGGAAGCCCAGAAAGAGGCCCGCCCCCCGATGAAGGCAGCAATGTGCGGCTCGCCGACGGCAGCTCTACTGAAATGGAATCGTCGGTGAAGGAAAATGCCCGTGCGTGAACCATGCTTATCGCCCTAAAACCATGATTTGTCAGTTCAGCGAAGGGTCTGCCATAGAGAAACCAATACATAGAAACCAATGCATACCTGTCCAGGGCGTAGACGCAGTAGAAGGTCCTGCGCCGCGCCTCCAATGTGTCTTTGTCCTTGTCCAAGGGTTGCGTCTGCGGAGGATCCTGATGAAAGCCCAGATCGATCACAGCGCGGCAGGTAAATCCGACCAGGTACCAGGCGTCCAGGTGCGCAGGATCGAGCATGGAGTACTGCGTGAGCAGCAGCAGCGATTGGATCTGCGTAATATAGCCCGGCATCAGCGCCCGGTCGGC